AATCGATTCATGTTTTTGTTTTTTTTTTCTTCCTCCGGTCTATTTTTATACATTTGCTCCTGGGTGTAATTCTCCCTCCCGTGCTGCGGTGGCGCTGAACCTATTTTGCCCTCCTACCTCGCTTCCTGGTTATACTCTTACAGCAGTGTGTTGCAGTGAGCTTGACACAGACATTTTTGATTTATGCCCAATATTGAAGCGTGGTCTGAGCTACACGCTCTGGGTCTAGATACGTCTCAGGTGGTGAGGAAGTGGGGGCGAGTTTAGTCCGACGACAGAGGGACATGAGGGCCAAAATTAGCGGAGATCCAGGTGGAAAAAGGGTCTCAGCGTTCTCGCGCACCTCGCTCTTTTAGCGGGTCAAATTTCACGAGTTTTGTTCCGCAATTTCAGTCATAAAAACCAAACAAGCCGGCCTCCTGTCTGCGGCACTGTCTGCCGTCAGCTACAATTTGGGAGAGGTGCATCAGAGCGTCTGTGGAGGGGGCCGGACGCCTGGAGCCGAGGTATTGAATTGCACTCATTGCACTGATTTTGTGCAGTATTTTCTGATGCAAGGCCTTTCAGAATCTATAACGCAGGGGTATTATTATTTTTCAGTGAATAAGGTTTTAATTGGCCTAGGTGGAGTGCAACTTTTCTACTTCTGTTATTTGCTGTTGTTTCTCAAAAAAAAAAATGCATAACGATATTACAGCTTTTATTGATTTATTACAAATTTGAAACATTATAAAGCCTGTAAGGTGTAAAAAAAAAAAAATTAACCAATTATCGAATCTTATTGTGGTGTATTCTTGAGTATCGAAAATAATCGAGTCGTTGGGTCAGGAAATCGATACTGAATCGAATCGCCATGATGGATGTGATTTACACCCCTACTAAGAAATAACAATGGTTTACCTGGAGAAAATTTTCATAACAATGAAATGGCAAACTTTTTTTTATTATATTCTTAATTTCTTAAAAAGATATTTAGTGTCTTTTAACTAAATTAGTAAATCTATAACTTTCTGTTTATCTAAGGCATTGATAGAATGTGACACAGAGAACTTTACAAAATGGAAAACATTTAAGAAAGATAATTTCACAAGGTGTTTTATTTTTTTTTTTACTATATTCCTGGTGGAGCCGATGTAAAGCTATGGATGAACATGCATGCAAATTGGTTTGTTGGCATCCCTGGTAAAGATGTGCAAAAAGCTTTAGAATAAAAATCAAGGCTTAAACTCATTCTGGAAGAAAATGAATTTATTGAATCATAAAAAATGGGGAAAACGATCTTATGTAATAAAAGGTTATATTTAACAAAATCACCTTTGAAGAGAAATATTCTCTCCTTGCTGATAGTTTCTCTCTCAGGTTGGGGTAAATCCTCTCTGGTTTTATTTTCTTTTATTGAATAGAACTTAGTTCAGGAGATTGAAGGGATTACAAGCAGAGGACTTAACATGCGTGTCAGTTTTTTTACTTTGAGCTTCTTTTTTACTATTTTAGCTCAGCTGAACAACTGGATTCCACTTACCTTTTTCACTAAAGCTTATCAGGGCTTAAAATGAGCGAGTTTGCTACCAGCAGCGTAGTCCCAACAATCTGGCTGCTTTGTAAGCCAAAACAGGTGATTAGATTTAAATCAGAGGGGCTTTACTGTAGGAGCTGTGGGGGAAACGCTCATACTATCATGGAAAAAAAGCATAGTCGTCCTTTAATGGACTCCAATGTTGGAATGCAGAACTCCATCTTATATTTTTGAAGAACCAGATCAACCAAAGCAGAGCTATCAAGATATCCAGACCTCTGATTGATTCGGTCAGCTGTAGTCTGGGAGCTCACAGCGCCCCCTATGTGCAGGTAATGCTGATGACACTGAGCAGTTTGGTCCTCTGGTTCCTGAGGTTCCTGCTCCTCCATCCTACCCTCTAATTCTGGACAGAGACCCCGTGCCGGAGGAAATCGTAAGATCAGATTCTCACCATTTGAACCAATGATTCAAGTTTTTTTTTTTTTTTTTTTCCTTCTTCTGTCAAATCTCACCCTCTATCCCTCTGTTTCGTTCCACCAGGAGCTGGAGGCCTACGTCTCCGACTCGGACTCTGACGGGGAGGGAAGAGGGTCGTGGTCCGACTTGCTGTCCCCAGAGGAGCGGGAACGACAGCGGAGGGAGAGGGAGGAGTCTCGTCGCGTCCTGTCTGAGCTGAAAGCCGTCCTGGGCTTCCGCGCGTCCGACGGGGAGAGGATGAAGAGGAAGCAGATGCTGTTCAGCGACCAAGGTCTGCACTGGAGTTATTCTTGGAATGAGGCTGCTGCAGGCTGAAGCGCCTCCCCCCCAGTTTCTCTCACTCAGGATTTCACTTTCCTGTAGTTAACCATACATTCTTATTTTCAGTTAATCTTGGGCTGTACTTTAATGAATACACCATAGAACTCCAAAAGCACAAAATGTTTAGCTTCTTACAATCTTACAATCTAAGATTTACAGCTACCAACAATCTATAGCCCTGAATATTCATGTCACAATCACATACATCAATGATTTAAGCGGTGGAGAACAATAAATGTTTTGTATTCAGCCCCCTTAACTTGGATACCCCTCAATGAAATCTGCAAACCTCTTAGAAACACGATAGCGACTGAGCCTTATAAACTAATGTCTGCACTCAAACTCCATGCAGTCTGGATGCGTTTAAGTAAATTTAAGTTCAGAAGTGGAAAGAAATGATCTACAGGTGCGAAAAAAAAGGAATCAAAAGGGGTTGTAGCTTTTATAAAAAAAAAAATAATAATCAAGATCTGGTTCTACAAAGATGCAGTTTTTAATACTTGGTCCTCATAAAGTTAACTACTCTGAAAGTTGTCAAGGGGCTAAGTCAAACTCCAAGCCAAAGCT